TTCAGCATTTTTCATTTCAGTTGTAATCGAAATTATGATGTTAATTATATTTTCTATTTCAGCATTTTATTGTTGAATTATTTTTTAATTGTTACAGAAATTATGACGTTAATTATATTTTCTATTTCAGCATTTTATTGTTGAATTGTTATTTTGTTAATTATGATGTTCATTATATTTTCTATTTCAGCATTTTATTGTTGAATTGTTATTTTGTTAATTATGATCATTATATTTTCTATTTCAGCATTTATTATTGAATTGTTATTTTCTCAATTGTTTATGATATTAGGATGTTAATTTCATTTTCTATTTCAAGATTGTATTGTTTAAATTTTTATTTTATGTTGTCTGTTTTGAATGGTTTCACGTTATTGTATATCTAATCCTAATAATTGTTTTCCGTTACAGCATTTTATTATTAAATTATTATTATTTTCTCAATTGTTTTTGATATTAGGATGTTAATTTTATTTTCTATTTCAAGATTGTATTGTTTAAATTTTTATTTTATGTTGCCTGTTTTGAATGGTTTCACGTTCTTATGATTTTAGGGTGGGTCACTAACGTAGCCACCTCCATGTGGTGTGACCTGGTAATTGATATCGTTTTCTAAAGCTAACTTTTAGAAAGCGATATCAAGCTAAGAGCTACGATAAAAAGATTTATATATTTTTTAATTGGGAAACAATAGTTTAAATTCAGAAAAGTATTTTCGGGATTGCAATATTACCATATAAAACGTATAACTATAGTAATTTAATAGTTCCTGAAAAAGGAACCTGTATGATTTTTGACTAATTACAAATGACTAATTACCTCCTTCTTTTCGAAGTCGGTTAAAAATAAAATAAAAAGAAAATCACAAAATATGGAATTTAGAAAGAACAAAGTTATTTGATACGCAATGGTAGAAAGAAATCAACCCTGGCGAAGATATTTCAAGCAGAGACGTACATTGGAAAGGCCATGACTTTATCCATGACTCTGGTCAGACGCCAGATCTCGCTCTTGTCCACAGAACACATAATTTCTGCTTTTCATTTGATAGAAATTCGCTACGTTGACTAACAAATATTTTTCTTATAACAATTTTCGAGAGGAATTCATTATTGAATGAAAGTAAAAATTTGCATAAATGGAGGGTGGATGGGATGAGGTAGGGCTGGTCTCCAAACCACAGCAACCTCCTCGTGGTGAGAACTGGGCAATCGTTATTATTTGACGACTAATTAATAACTGTATCATTATTTCTATGGTAATAGCAAATAATACAAGTGAATAATAATGAATGCATGGTCAGTATTGTTTAATTATGTACTTATACATATAGCTATCGTAGCATACACGTGTCATTTAGGTGTATGCGAAAGGTGACGTAGTATAGCATGCCGTTAGTTGATAGGGTTGATAGCATGCAATAATTGAGGTGGCGCTTAAATCAGTTTCTGTTCGGCCTAATTTTCGATGAAACGTTGACTGTTTTACCAACGCGGAATTCGAAGTTCGGTCTCGACGCTCTAAAGAAATGGATCTCTCATTGGCCTTTTTTGATCTTAAAATTAGTACTTCATTGTTACGTTGGGTGGCGTTTATGAGTCTGTGTTATTACATTATATCAAATATATGTATTTTTTACGAGAGAATAGTACCATCGGATGAACGAATTTTGGTTTTGTTTGCGCATGTTGGCTCTGATTGGTTCTGCCACGCTCCGCTACCAAGGTAACACGCATGCGCTGTATGGCTGTATGGTATAAGACCCGCTGGGCAGAAAGTATATCCGGTAATCATAAACTTGTGAATTATAATTCACTACCTTTGTCCTTTAATAAGCCGTTCCGTTCGGTCCGTTCCTATATTAGTATATTTTGTCCACCGTGTATATGGCGAATGCAATGGGAAGTAAATCATGGCGAGGTAGCGCTACTGGTGGGAGAAATTCTGAGCTCAGTCGAGCTGCGCGAAATGATACTATTCTCTCGTGAAAAATACAATATATATTAGTCAAACAAGATATATTTTAATATTTGAAATTAAGAATTGTTATTAATGTTTTCAGAATATGTAACATACGCAGAATGTTAATTGCACATGTACATTTATGTACTAAGGTAATTTATTAATAATCAAGAAAACAGGTTATAAAGAAGGTTAAAGATACATACATAATGTACATTTGTAAATGGTATTAAATTTATGTAACAACAAAATTCGAATAATTTATTAACATGAGTTTACTTATTAGAAGAGCTTTTACTTCATTAAGTAAATCTTTAATAACTAAGGAACATTTTAGTCCACAAGTGATGATTGTTCATGCTTTTCACAACAATCAAATTTTGTATAATAGAAGAAAAAAAGCATCCAGTGATATTTCACTCAATTATTTTAATGCATCAAAAAGCAAAGAGAAAGAAGTATTCTTAGAAATAATACGTATATATCTTAAAGAGAATACTTTGCTAAGAGGACATACACAATTTATATTAAAGGCATTAAAATACATGAATGAATTTGGTGTGAATAAAGATTTGGAAACGTACAAAGCATTACTAGATGTATTTCCAAAAGGGAAATTCATACCAGTGAATATTTATCAAGCCATGTCTTATCATTATCCAAAGCAACAAGATACAGCTATAGAATTGCTTGCACAAATGGAAGATAATTTTGTGATGCCTGATTATGAAATGCAGCAAATGATATTAAATATTTTTGGCGAAAGAAGTTATGTTATTAAAAAATTTTGGCGTATGACTTATTGGATGCCAAAATTTGCTCATTTAAATCCATGGCCAGTCCCTGAACCTCCACCATCAGACCCTAGAGAATTAGCACACTTAGCAATAGAAAAAATATCTAGCATAGATGTACAAAGCAATGTTACCGAATATAGAACAAAAGATGTACCAGATGCTATTGATGATACATGGATCGTATCTGTTATGAGCAGATCACAACAAGAACTACTTGCTGTACAACCAACTGACAAATCCTTATCTGTAGAAGGTCCTTTTATAATTTGGACTGGAACTACCTGCATGGATTATTTTGTACTAAAAGGGGAACCAATAAAAAGAGAAATTATTTATGAGAGTTATGATGGTAAGATCGAACTGTGCCTTAAACATTGTTTACTTTAGACTGCAATAAGATTTTTATGCATTCTACTGTATTCTTTCAGATATTTCTAATTTAGAAATTCCCTTTTGGGAAAGGCATCACTTTAAAATACCTTATACCATTCATGAACAGCCTGATGGTGTGTATTATGCGATATGTGCTACTGGTACCTCTTCCAAAGATTCTCTATTATCTTGGATAAGGTGCTTAGAAAAAACAAATCCCATTCTAGAACATATACCAATAGTGTTCAAATTGAAATCACTCACGCAAGAAAAAGCACTTATTGAACAAGGTGAAAATAAACCTGTTATAGAACAATTACCTTCTGATACAGATGCATTGAAAGAATAGTTAAATGGTTTATGAGCATAAGTAACATAAAAATGTATAAATAAAGTATTTATAATGCTTACTATTTATCTTTCTTCTTGTCCACATTTCAGAAACTTCCTCAGAATAATTAATGGCCAGTAGCAAAGTAAGTAAATTCCTAAAGATATATTTTTTTCTTGTAAAATTTGAGTAATTTAGATAATTTGCATTTACAGGATGTGAATTAAAGTTTCACTCGAAATAAAAACAACATTTATATTCACGATGAACACTTAATTCGCAATGAAACAATGCGTATCTATCAGTATTCTTAAACGAATTTTTTGACCTCCTTCGGGAGCATGTACCTTAACGTATCTACATTTATACATGAATGCTCGTATCAAAATAAATTCGTTTAACTTTTAAACTTGTGCATGTATAATCATGTACTGCCAGTAAGTGATCGTTCTTTACACGGTTAAAACACTTTCCAGTACAAGTTTTATAAAAGTGAATATTAAATTTCTAATAAAATAGAAAATAGAATCTGCAAGTATAAATTAACTTTTAAACAAACATGCCAGTAAATAAATTTATAAGCGCCTCTTCAGCTTATATTAATACATCATATTTATCATACTTAAAGTGTAAGTATCTTTTTATTAATTAATATTTAAAGTTTTAATGGATCATGTAGTAAAAATTCATTCAATTACTCTTTTAGGGTTTATCATACAAAATAGATTTTTTGTAAATGATGTAAAAAATTGTTTGGAAATGCCCGCTTGCAAACATGTACCTCCTACGTATACGGTAATATTTCATGTTATTGTAGAAATTTTAATTTTATCTATTGAGTTTATCGATTGGGTTTTGCCTAAGTTAACGATGTCTTTTTAATCTAGGGCAAATGCTACGAAGACATGAAAAGGGCACACGAGACGATTGTATCTCCTTCTTTAAAACCATTTTACAAAGAACCGCTAATTATACACGAAGGCCGAGGACAGTGGTTGTGGGATCATCGGGGAGAACGATATTTGGATATGTTTGGCGGTGTCGCTACCGTATCTGTAGGACATTCTCATCCGTAAAAAAATCTTATTAACTGTTGATAACAAAGTTTTGAAAAGTTAACACGAATTGAATTGAAATTCAAATATTTATCGAGCAATAAAAATCATTGTTTTTTACTTTTCAGAAAAATAGTAGCTGCTATATTTGAGCAAGCATCGAAATTGAACCATGTGTCTTCTGTCTACATGCAACCTCGTCTACAAGAATATGTGGCCAAGTTGATCGATAAATTTTCAGGAAAGTTGAAAGTAGTCTATTTAACAAACAGTGGATCTGAAGCTAACGAATTAGCATTTTTGATGGTTAGACTTTATACTCGCAATCAAAATATTGTTTCTTTAAAAAACGGCTATCATGGAGCAACTTATGGAACCTCAGCATCTACTGCATTGAGTAACTGGAAATATCCTTATGTTGTACAACCACCTGGTTATATGCACGTAAGTGCAATACAAATATTAGATCCTTTATCATTATATTAATACTATTTAATTATTTCAGATGGTATACCCAGATGTATACAAGGGTAGTTGGGGTGGTTCCAGCTGCAGAGATTCCCCTGTACAAGTGAGTGGAAGGAATTGTGCCTGTGGGGAGAAGGAATGTATAGCATCAGATAAATACTTTGATGATTTTAAGGAGACATTTCAATTTAGTTTGCCATACAAACACAGTATAGCAGCATTTGTAGCTGAAAGTATTCAGGTACCTTATTACCGTACGAATAATGCAAAATAATTGATTTTTGTTTTTTTAATTATAGCTACTATCTATAAGCATTATGTAATTTTTAGGGAATAGGAGGAACAATACAATATCCTAAAAACTTTCTTCAGAAAGTATATGATTATATCCATGCACAAGGTGGTCTGTGTATAGCGGATGAAGTTCAGACTGGTTTTGGTAGAACAGGGGAGCATTTTTGGGGCTTTGAAAGCCATAAGGTTGAACCGGATATAGTGACGTTAGCAAAAGGTATAGGTAATGGATTTCCTCTAGGCGCAGTAGTAACAAGCGCCGAAATTGCTGAGAGTCTAAATGCCGCTTTACATTTCAATACGTTTGGAGGAAATCCGCTTGCTTGCGCCGTAGGGATAACGGTGCTTGATGCAAGTATCGCTTATTAAAATATTAATTATTTAAAATATTGTTGGAACATGAATAATTCTATTTCAGATCATAGAAAATGAACGTCTTCAGGAGAATGCACATAAGGTCGGTACTTACCTGATTAATCAATTAAGTACGTTGTTATCAGAATTCCCCAATATTGTTGGAGATGTTAGAGGGAAAGGATTGATGATTGGAGTTGAACTAATTTCAAATGCCGAGACAAGAAGTCCTTTAAAAGCTGAACACATGCTTGATATTTTTGAAGATATAAAGAATATGAAAATTCTTCTCGGAAAAGGAGGAGTACATGGGAATGTGAGTTAAATATTTATAATATTTAAATATTTATATATTTATAATTATTTATACATAGGTACTGAGAATAAAACCACCTTTATGTATAACAAAGGAAGATGCAAATTTTACAGTTGCAGTTATAAGAAGAGCATTAGAAGTTCATAAAGAAAAATACCATAAATAGATCAAAGAACAATTTAATACATTAAGCGAATACAATCCATTTTGTTTGGTATAGTCATTTATATTACATTTGTACAATATAATTTCTTTCTTTATTGTTATTACACCTTAATTTAACATGCAGATTTTGTGACTACACTGCAGTCACTACAATATAATTGTACATGATGCTAATGATTCACAATATCCATAGACAATAAAGATTGATCACTATGTATGTACAAACGTATGTTTTCCTAATAAACTAATAATACGTTTTATAGAATCGGATAAACAGATGTCCAAGTTAACAAAAATGTAACGAATTAATGTGAACATTTGATACCTTTTACCATAGTTTCAGTCTTCCTGATAAAATGCGTAAGTTTACTCGATAATTTTCTTGACGGAATAATTATTTTTATACAAATGCAATTGTCATGGTAATTATTTTACAATGGTAAATGTATTTTTACACGTTGTTTTTTAATCATGTATTTTAAGTTAAACTAATATATAAAATTATATGCAGATAAACGAGAACAATAAGTTTCATCCATTTTAAGTTAAATAAATTATATCTGAGTATTTAAGAACCTCCATGTTTCTTAAAATTGTAACAATTAATCAGTTTAATGGAAGACCTATTTATAACAGCATTATAAGAAGAAACTATATTCTCCTAAATAAAAATGTATAAGGCTGTCAACAGAACATAAAAATGAAGACATACTGACAAATATAAATGCAGTCAAATTTCTTATAACGAATTAAAATATAATGCATGAAGACTTTTAATAAATGGAAATGAGATTTGGCACAAAATTAGAGTATCAAAAGAAATAATATGAACACGTGACTCTATCAGTTCCTGTTATTGTCTAAAAACTGCTCAAATGTATTCAGCTATACAGTTTCCCATTATTGCTTGTATTATAAAATACTCAGTTCTTTTAGAATATGATATAAAAAGAAATATCAATAACTATCTGTTTAGTTAATGAAATCTAATTCTGAATTCCGAAAAGGTATTAAATTTTACTTCCGTCATTAGTCATAAATAATATGAGTCATATTAAGTATGAAACATGTAGGTACCCATTAGTAAAATAAAATTTTCTTTCAAACCTTTAAGCAATTAAGTTAGTTAGAACTATTTTAGAATCTGGGAGCGTGTCAAGAAGGTAATGAGAAGAATCTGTCATTGAAGCAAGATCAGCTTCTAACAATGCTAACTGAAGTTCCCTTCGTGCTTTTTGTACAACATACACCATTAATGAAATGCCTATTAAAATCTGAAAATGAAATGAAAAAATATATTTTGTGTTCAAACAATCTTAATATTTTGATGAGAAAAAAAACAGAATGATATACCTGAAAACAGAAGACAATGTAACCAGTTGCTGCTGTTGATTTATCCTCAAGAACATCTTGCATAGATCTTAAACTACTACCAAGATAAATGTTGATGATCTGAGCAGGTAGTAAGCCTAATGCACTAGCTACATGGTATTGAAAACCACCCATATTACTAACCTGGATATTTATATACATTATTTTTAATATAAACTTTTATAAACACAATTTATTTTTGTCAAAAGATACATACCGCGAAAATTGTGTTCTGTAGACCAAAGGGAATCGGAGTTAATCTGGCAAACAACACAACTTTAAAAGTTTGTGGTCCAGAAATAACCCTAAGAATTGCTCTTGCAGTGTTATTTTGCAAAAGTGTTCCAATAGGCAATTTCGATGACAATGCACTAAGAGTAACATGTGCTATGGCTATTCCCAAATTGGCAGATAACACTACCATTACTATACCTTTTAATATACCAAAGAGGTAACCACTAGCAATGATAAGAAATAAATAACCAATTACAATAGGGAATGAAACCACGCTAAACAATGCAATGAATATTACAGTAACAACCCATATGTTTTGATGTTCAATCCAATAAAGTAGGATTTTAATATAGTCCCTACAGATGAAAACAATTGCTCCCAGAAGAGCTAGGGTAGCAACTGTTACAATAACGTAACATATTGAGTTTGAATGGATGCAATTGCATTGTATTGGAGTAGAACTTTTTGATGGACGCACACCAGCTTCTACGTTTTCTATATTAATTATATCCATGTCCAATGCAATTATTATTCATTATGTATACTAAAATACTCATTTCAGTGCCATTCTTCTGTTATGACCTGTTTAAAATGTATGAAATATTATTGCATGTATATGATAATGTTTTAGATATACAGACATTTCATCCTTACCAATGTTATGTCAAATTAATGACACTAATAAAATAAGGAAATTAATTATTACATTGGACTTTTACATTGTTGTGTATATTCATGGTAAAACATATAACTTTTACGATGAAAACAAATCGTGCTGTGATTACAAATACAAAAAGGACTGAACATGACACTGTTTTCTAGGTGTTATGATTTTGGGGGTCCCAGACATCCCTAGATCAGTATAACAGTCGTGCCTCTTTTACTACACCTCGTATTTTCAACTGAAAAAACACAATTTTGATTCTATTTTTTAGAAATCAATCAAAATCAGTAGAAGACTGATAAATTATTAAAATAATTGCTTGACAAATTTGTATTTTAAATAGATTGCCATGAAAATACATTTAAGTAAAGGTAGCCGGCTGTGTGGCGGTGGGGCGGACGCAGGGCCGGCGTTAGAGGGGCGCGCGGTCGGGCAATCGTCCAGGGCGCTAGATCTGTAGTAGGCGTCGCAGCCCGGTGTCTCTAACATGCGAATATACCGATATTTTCTCATTGTCTCTTCTCTCTAGCTGCATCTCATGTAATATTACATATATGCTATATATGCTGCGACATTTATGTCTACATCTTCCCTGATTAGCCCCTGAATGGGTGCCACGATAATCTTGGCCGGGGCGCCAATATTGCTAAAACCGGTCCTGAGCGGACGTACAGCTCTAAATCTAAATTAACCGTTTCGCGCTGAAGCGCATCAGTCTGTCTTCGGACGTCGGAGAAGAAGGATGGTGTACTTCGATGCTTCGACAGCAGCGCCATCTATACAAAAACGGCTCAAACTACTCAACGACTTACCTACTGAGATTTTTAAAGGCGGGAACACTAGCGCCGTCTATCAGAAGGTAGCGGAAACTTTACAACAATTTATCGGCTGACAGAGTCGATAAGTCGGTAAGTTGTTGAATAGTTTCCGCTATTTTTGTATAGATGGCGCTGGGATCGAATCTGTACCACCTTTTATCGGCATTTTTAAAACTTAAATAAATTGAAATGTGTATATTATTTTTAAGTACTGACATACATTAAATCTTTGACTATTTATCCTAAAAGATCATGACTCCTCGTGAACAAAAGCATGTCCAGTCTTTTTGTATATGACATATAGGAGATAGTAGTGATGGGAGAGTACGATGGTTAGCATAAATGTAATTATAAATGAATATTTAAATGAAATCTTTTGTTGTAATTCATTAATTGTAGTTCTAATTTTTGTCAAATAATTGATTTCATTAATTTATCTATTTTTGAAATGAAAAATCTCCGCTATCCATTACGTTTTGTGCACTGTAGTGCAATAGCGCATTATTTCATGTATAATATTTAGAATAACATTTAAAAATAAGAAGGGAGAATCGAAGGTTTATAAAACCACAAGATAATATTCAGAATACTAAGGACATATCGGTTGGGTTTCAGTTAGAAAGTAATAGGACTAGGAAAGTAATATTTCCAGTTGTACACTTGTCAACCTTGTTTGTGGTGGTCGCGTCGGTATGGCGGCATAACGAATTTTTAAGGTTACAGAAAATATACACGTTATACTTAACAGATATAATAATTGTTTCTCTGTCTCTTTGAATGAACACTGTCTAAATACTGTGATCGTTAACACTAATCTGTAATTTTAGGTGAATTCTGAGCCGCTAATGTCAGTAACAAACGGTGCATTTAAATTATTCGTACTGTTGACAGAATGATCGTCGATAGGATTTTGCATTTAGGATTCATCGTGACAGTGTTTCTGAATTTATACACTATAGCCGAAGATGATTCGACTACTGACTCAAAATGTCAGTTCGGTAAAACATTACGAAAACAGGTGAATCCGGAACCATTGAATGGAACATGTTTACGAGATATCGTGGTCCGATTGTCAAACGAGTTTCGGTCGATCACAGATTCGGAACTCGGTTTAAAATCCTTCGAAATATTGCTTAACGAAATGGAATTTGTAAATGTTTCAAGGAGTTTGAACAGCAAGCTAAATTTATTGGCCGATAAATTAAACAAGAAACTATCGTCTTACGCGGAACTTCTTAAACAAAGTTATCACGTCGTAGAGCCGATTTTAACGAAGAATGAAGATCAATTCATTTATTCTGGATCTTTAAGTGGATTAGATTTCATATCAAATGGGTTGTCTGATTTTTGCTCACAGATTGCTCAAGGTATTGAATTTAATTATTTAATTATTTTGTTTGTTTCTTACATGTTTTTGTATATATTTCAGCTCTGGCAATTAATATAAGAAGTCAGGAATGGAAGAACTTACATCTGTTACCTTTTATGTATCCTGTTACTATGTGCGGTCCACCCAGTGCAGGTCACAATATTGGACCTCTTTTGTTGTCCCAATATTGCCCAAACAAAAAAGTTTTACTGCTACTTGAGCATGGCATGTTCATGTCTGAAGGGGATATTACTTTAGCTCAGATAACTGCAGAGACAATAATTGACATGCTGTCTCAGTCAGACCATATTAATGTTATTGGTCTCTCTAGCAATAATTCTATATATTGTAAAGATGGTTTATTGAAAGCAACAGATGTCAATAAGTTTCAGTTAGCACGTTATATTCACAGCTTAATCAGGACAGGTATAATTTATTTTAAACCTTGTAAGTATTATCATTAGCTTGTTTTTACAGAATCATCTTATTTAATTTTTAGAAACAAATGATACATTGGAATTTAATTTCAATCAATTGCTGCAAAATGTGAAGGGTGAAATAGTATTTATACATTTGACTAATGTACTTAAAGCTACTTTGCCCATAAAGAAGATAAAAAGCATGATATCTACAGGGAAAGTGAATGGTTACTTAAGAACAGTTCTGATTCTTTCAGGTGCACTTAAGTTGTATTATATATAATTGTTTATATTTTTTGTTGTTATATAATTAACGCTATACTTTTTTTCGTAGATCAAGAGGCAC